CCACCTAATACTTCCCAGTGAAAAAGATTACGATCCTCAAAATAACCATTAATAATTAAATTAGCTGTAGCAACATTGGGGGCCATGATGGCTCAGCAGTTAAAAGATGCTGAGTTTGTCAGCTGGAAAGCTGACAGCCCGGGGTTCAAGATCCATGTGCTATGCAAAGGGTGAGCTCCCATTACTTGCCCAATTCCTGCCCACCTAGCAGTTCGAAAGCATGCAAATGCGAGTAGATTAATAGGTACCACTTTGGTGGGAAGGTAGCAGCGTTCGTGCCCTTGCCTCTCATCTGGATTTACTACAGGTCATTTAGAACAAAGCTTCGGCTGCCTGTCTTCATTTCCAAGTAGTCACAAATAATCTCTTGTTTTGAGCATGTAGACTTTTCTATACTATCCAGGTTCATCAGGATGAATCAATCCAGGTGCCCCTGGTTTGTGTAGAACATTTTAGACACAATAAAAATCAGTCATAGCTTCCCGTAGTATAGAAGTGTAAGGTAACTTCCCGCAGTATAGAAGTGTAAGGTAACTGCTGTAGTTTTGCAAGAGAAAGCCCAGTGTAGCTTCATGAATTAGTGAAACCTCTGGAGTTTAGGTGTCTACCAAATTGATAACCAACTGCCCCATTTTTAATTTTTTTTAAAAGACAGCATTTCCAAAAGTGTGATAGTCCATTTGTGGGTGGCTGAGCTGATGCAATGAAATACATACTTTTGAATCAGCATCGACTATGAATCCTTATTTCATAAACTTTGAAAGTATGAAATCAGGTAAGCTCAGCTGTGCATAACCATTTATCGATATAATGATGAAAAATAGACTACAGCACTCATCTGTAAGGCAGCCAATGAAAATGACAGCAGCTGAAAATACAGGGAGATTCACCCAAGTTGACTACTTTCTCTCAAAAAGAAAATCAATATAGCACTCTTCAAAAATACATCTGGGAACAAAAGTTGTGGAATATAAAGGTCAAAACTTCAGAACTCTAAGCCAGGTTAACTTCCTTTACTTTATATTCTGCAAATCACCAGGGCAAATGTTGAAATAATTCAGTATCTAGAGTAACCAAGAAAAAAATGCTACACCTATAAATCATCTGTTACTCTGTAATTTAAGGGTAATGGAGTGGTTTGCTTTTGTGTTAGTACAGAAGGAAGGAGTATCACCTTACTAATTAATTCCAGATCAATTGCATACAAATACTTCTTACCAGTTTTCTCAAGTACTGTGCAATATTTGTTATCCTTTATAATCATTTCAATGGTTTTGTAATTTTTACCAGAATAAAATAACTATGTTGGGTAAACTTATTTCACCTGATTTGTTAGTCTATTTTTGAAAACATGCTATAAATACACATATGTTTCGTAGCAATGAGACACATGGAAATCTGCTATTTAATTGTATTAGTCTTAGGCTGGGAAGCAACACTCAAATTGTTGTGTTCCATTAAAAGGCTAGATGAGAGATGTTTATTCAAAACTGAAAAAAAAAATCATACAGCAAGAAGATGAACATTCAAATTTTGATGAAACAAATTATCTAAAGGTAGTCCTCAACTTACATCCATTTAGTGACC